TTTAAGGTCGAGACCGCCGTCTCGTATTCGGGACCGCCGTCTCGCCTTGCGAAAGTGGCGAGACCACCATCTCGTTTGGCGAGACGCCCATCTCGCCACCTGCGAATGGCGAGACGGCCCTCCCGATTGGCGAGATGGTCGTCTCAACCTTGTTAGACGAGACAACCGTCTCGACCTAACAGGCGTGAATCCCTATAAATAGCCGCGCCATTCCCCTCATTTCACACAGTTCTTCCATTCTCTCTCTTTTCACTTCATAAAATTCTCTTCCTAGAACCCCTCCGAAGCACTTCCGGAGTTTTCTGAGAGTTTCTAAGAGTTTTTATAGCATTTTTGAGAGGTTTCCGGCGCTGTAGAGAGTGAAGGGCTGCCAAAAAGCACCCTAATTTTCAAAAGATTAATATAAAGCTTGCCTCGGAGGTTTCTATACTCTCTCTCTCTCTCTCTCTTTACTGCTTTATCTATAAATTGCACAGTAGATATTAGGGTCATGTAGTCGTAACTTTAAATTTCGCAAATAAAGGGTAAAAGCGTATTTTCACCGGTTTACTTATTTAAATAGCTGGCTTATCATAGGGAACCCGAAAGGGGCATCATAAGGGAACTAACACTTCCCTTACACGTAACTAACTCCCTTACCCAACTCTGGTTCTAATGACCAAAGTTGGTTTTTCGAAAACCAATGCCTTTTCACTCCTTTTCTGATGTTTCTGGTAAAAACATCGGTGACGACTCCAGAAAAACCCTTCAAAATTAGTTCTTGGGTTAGCCCGGTTATCGGACAATCCAAGAACACTTTTTCAAAAAAACCTCGCCCCTAGGTTCAGCCCGGTTATCGGACAACCTAAAGGCGTTGTAATCACACCAATAAAAACGCAAAAATTGGAAAGTCAGAACCATCGCATCGCTCCGACTGCCTCATTTTGACGGCGGCGACAGTATGAAATGATGGATTTAACCACACACCCTCTTAATGGTCATTTCTTGCATAAAAATCTCCATCATCCAGTACAGAATTACCAAACAATGTTGGGTCCATGCTCATAAAAGGATCGTCTTCCACTAAAAATGGCGTTTCTTCCATGTTTTCGGCGTTAGTGAAAGCATTGACTTTATTTGATAATAACACAATAGACCATGCATGGTCATTAGGATCTGTGACATAAAATACTTGTTTAGCTTGCGATGCAAGGATAAATGAGTCATTCTCATAACCAATCTTCTTGAAATCAACCTTTATGAGGCCTAACTCATCACATTGAACCCCACTATTATTCTCAACCCATTTACATTTGAACACAGGAACTTGAAAACCCACATAATCTAATTCCCATATTTGTTCAATACAACCAAAGTAAGACATCTTGGCATATATGGGATTTTTATCCTTTGCACTTGAAATATGTAAGGATTGAGCAACAAGAGTTACACCACTATTCTGCATTGTGCTTTGTTCATCATGCTATTTTGTGTAGAAAGTGAACCCATTAATCAAGTATGCAATGTAAGAAAATGCATCAACACAAGGACCGATAACCGTCGAACTTTGTCTTCAACACTCTCCTCAGATACATTATCCTTTAGCCATGAAATGAACTTCTGATTATCCTCTTTTGTAATCCAGGCTTCACCTCTGTTAGGATTACTAACCTTCAAAAGTTGTATATGCTTGGTAACGAAAGGGTCAATTTCTGGAGTATTTTGTAAGACATATAAGTGTGCTTGCTCCAATTGTAGTCTTGGGATCTCTACAACTTGACAACCAGAAACACCTTCCCCTAAGATTTTTCCAGTGTGACGGGATCTTGGTAGACCGATTGGTTCTACATTTGACAAATAATCATTGCAAAATTCAACTGATTCTTCCACTAAATATCTTTCAGCAATACAACCCTCTGGTCTACTTCTATTCTTCACATACCCTTTTAATATCTTCATATATCACTCAACGGGATACATCCATCTCATATATGCAGGGCCACACAATTTTGTCTCTTCAACCAAGTGAATTGTCAAATGAACCATAATATCAAAGAAAGAAGGTAGGAAATACATTTCAAGCTCACACAAGGTTTCACATATCATGTTTTACAATGCTGGTAATCTTGCAAGGTCAATGACTTTGCTACAAATTGTCTTAAAGAAAAAATAAAGCTTGGTAATTGACACACGAACCTTTTTGGGTAAAATAGATCGTATTGTTATTGGTACGATATTCTCCATTAATATATGACAATCATGAGACTTCATACCCTTTAACTTAAGATCTTTTAATGATACAATACTCTTCAAATTTGATGAGTAACCTTCACTAAATAAAGGCATTCACAAAATACACGTTTCTCATTTCTAGAAAGAGTAAATGCTGCCGGTGGTAAAAATGTTCGCTTTCCTTTTTTAATTGGTGTCAATTCAGATCATATTCCCATATTCATCAAGTCCAACCTCGCATTGATGCCATCTTTTTTCTTTCTTGGCATGTTCAATAACGTACCAAGAAGACTTTCACATATATTTTTTTCAACATGCATAACGTCAATAAAATGTCTAACATAAAGTGATTTCCAATATGGTAACTAAAAAAAAATAGACTTCTTCTTCCAACCTCTAGTAGGCAGTTCTTTGGCAAACGGTTTACCAAAATTCGTTTTAATATGTTCTACCTCTTCAAAGATTTGATCTCCAATTTTCAAATAGGGACATATTCGCTCTTCAGTATCTCCATTAAATGCCTTTTTCATTCTTCTAAAAGGATGATTACGTGGCAACCACCTTCGATGACCCATAAAAACATTCTTATGACAATTACCAAGCCTAATATAATCAGTATTATTACAACATACAGGACATGCACATTGTCCTTTTATGCTATATCCAGAAAGATTTCCGTATGCAGGAAAATCATTAATTGTACCATATAACATAGCCCTAACTGTGAATGTTTCTTCTTTGAACCCGTCATAGACCTCAACACCGCTATCCCACAACATCTTCAAATATTCAATCAAAGGAGATAAATACACATCAATGTCATTACCGGGTTGTTTAGGACCAGAGATTAACAACGAAAGCATCATGTATTTTCGCTTCATGCAAAGCCAGGGAGGTAAGTTATACAAAATTAGAATCATCGGCCATGTACTATATGTGCTACTTTGCATTCTATGAGGATTCATTCCATTAGTTGCTAAGGCAAAGCGTATATTTCTTGTTTCAGCTGCAAAGTCTTCATATTCATCATCAAATCTTTGCCACTGAGGAGAATATGTTGGATGCCTAAGCTTACCATCTATAATCCTACCTTCGGAATGCCAACTAAACTGCTTTGCAGTTTTAGGACTGCGGAAAAACCTTCTCAACCTTGGTATAATTAGAAAATACCACATAACCTTAGCTGGTGTAGATTTTTTCTTGACATATCGTGATGCCTTACACTTTGGACATTCTGTAAACGATTCATACTCGTTTCGAAACAAAATACAGTCATTAGGACATGCATGGATCTTTTCATGAGTTAAACCAATGGAACCAAGGATTTGCTTTGCATCATATGTTCTCCTAGGTAGGACATTGTCTTCTGGTAGCATGTCATTTATTAAGCTTAACATATCAGTAAAACCCTTATCACTCCATCCATGTGAGGCTTTTAAATTGTAGAGCTTCAAAACGACACTCAGTCTTGTGAAATTTGGGCATCCTGAGTACAATGGTGTTTCTGCATCATCTTTCAATCGCTCAAACATCCTTGGACAGTCTCTAAGATCTTCTTCAATAACATTGGGGATGTCTTCAACATGATCATTTTCCTCAAAATTGAATGTCTCCGAGTAAAAGCTATTTACATCCATCCTAAGTGACAAAATATCTCTTTCTATCTCACCATGTTTGGTCCAGTTTATATATTTATCATCAATTCCATTACACATTAGATGTTCTTCCAAATCTTCAACATTTACTGGCATCATATTCAAACAACACGAACAAGGGCAACAAATGAGGTTTTGGTCATGACTATGGTCAATTGCAAATTGAATAAACTCCTTCACTCCATCTTCATATACTTTGCTCAAACGACCGACTTTCATCCAACTTTGATCCATATTTGCCTAAGGCACACTAAATTTGTTACATCCATATGTTATCTACTATTTTTGTCTCATAGGGTATGACCCTATCCCATTTGAGAATAAAGTTTTCCATGTCATAATTATCATTTGTTAATTAAACATTATATTGTATACTTAATCTCTAATACAAAAACTATCAACAAAAACATCATACATAATCTCTAATACAAAATATTTCACGGTCACACTAAACCATCTATATATCCTAGCCAACCTATATTTTATTTCAAAACACAATTTCAGATCACAATGTAGACAAACTCTAAACCCTAAACCCTAAAAAATATATAATGCACTAACCTATTGTAAACCTTCCAATAAGCACGTCCTACAACAACAATGGTGAATGGAGACTGGAACGCGAACTTGGCGACACACAAATATATTACAATGTAATATGCTTCAATGAGAGCAAGAGAATCATAAAGATTGAAAACACAAAGAACGTACCTTTAGCTTAATGGAAGACGCAGACAAGGAGAAAGAGAGCGAGAGAGCGAGAATGAGAGCGAAGAGAGCGAGAATGAGAGCGGCAAAAAAACGCAGACACAAAGAGCACGAGGTTGAAGAAAGTGGGTGTAGGGTTTAAAAAAATATGACTTTAGATAGCGGTTGGCCAAATAATCGCTATCTAAACTAAATTTATTATAGTGGTCCCACGAAGTAACCGCTATCTAAAGTTATGATAACGGTTCCACGTGCAACCGCTCTTTAAAACTGCTATTATAAATTATTTTAGAAAGTGGTTCTTTCTAAACCGCTATTAAAACATACTTTAGAGAGCGGTTTACTCCTAACCGCTATCTAATATGTATTTTTAAAAGCATTTTTATTAACCGCTATCTAAAGTGTTGTCACGTAAGCCCAATTCTGTTATAGTGCACCTTCGAGGAACAATATCCTTCTTCCAAACTTGTCCACGGTGAAAATGGAAACAACAGTGGCAACCACATTAACACCTCCAGTGATAACGGAAGACATAAGGGAAGTATCGTTACCAAAGCCTAAAGTTTTGAAGAGGATGGGTGCATAAAACATTGTGACATTGATACTAGTGATTTGTTGGAAGAATGGAACCAGAGAGCAAAAAGTGAGTTGAGGTCTATATTTTGGTTGTGTAATGTTCTTCCATGGGTGTTCCACATCTTTGGCTGCTGTAGTCGCATCAACGAGGTCTTGGAACTCCTCCTCAACATTATCAATGCCACAAATCCTTTGCAACATTTTCTTAGCTGCTTCTATTTTACCTCTTTCAATAAGAGAGTTTGGCGTGTCACCTAAGAAAAGAGCTCCTACAGATAACATTATTGCGGGAACTGCACCAATACCTAAAGAAACTCTCCAACCATATTCTAGTTTTGCAGTCCCATAGTTGATAAGGTTTGCAATTAATATGCCAATTGTGATCATCATTTGAAATCCAATGTTGAGTGCACCTCTTATCCTTGTTGGGGCCATTTCAGACAAATACACGGTATAGACTATTGGATATAATAATAATGAAAGAAAACATTTTAAAATAGTTAATCATGAAAAGTTATCTACATTTATAATAAAACATGAAAGCATTGAAAATGATATGAAGTCTCACCTGATTACAATATCCAACACCAAAACCAAGCAATAAACGACCTATGATAATCATCTCAATATTGATGGCAAAACCATTCAACAAAGCACCAACAAGGAAAAAAAAACACTTACAAACATTGAGGTCTTGCATCCCATCATTCTTGTGGTGGTAGAAGCACAAAAAGAAGCTATTAATGCAACAAGATATAATGAAGAGGTGAATAAAGTAAGGAGCTCATTGTCAAATTTGCAATATTGGCTTTCGTGGTTAGATTCGTCTTTCATTTGTTTATAAACACTAGGAAAGAATTTCATTAGGAAAGGTTCCATGGAAGTCACTCCTCCCGTGATCCCAAGATCATAACCAAAGAGTAAACCACCCATGGCTGCTATAAAACACGTGACCAACACGAACGTTGTGATCTTACCCTCATATTGTCTTTCATTTTCTAGAGTTACTAAAGCTCCACCCGCCATCTATCCAAATATTATACTTTAAGTGACTATGTTTGCTTGCCTTAGCAATATTCCCTTCCTTTTCTACATATTAGAGGGGAAGTAGTAACTTGTTTTTATAATCTTAAACATGTTAATGATAGCATCTAACAGGTAAGAATGCGCATATAATAACGAAATAACTTCTCTAACAATATTATATCTTTTTGAGTCATTTTATTATCTATCATCCTATCAATATCCTAACTTATGCGCTTTGTTTCTTTCTGTCATAACTAATGTCTTGTTTTAAGAATTTGACATAAGAACTAACTATTTGATAGCTACACATCGCTTTTATAATCATTAATTTTAGAAGGATTGTCGCCGCCGTCTGTTCCGACGTCTAGGGACATCTCGAACGTTTATGCGAGCGGTCGCGAAAATATGGTTTAGACTCGCGTTTTATTAAAAATGTGATCATTGCTGCCGAGGTGTTCAACAACTGAACTATCCTCTAATAAAAGCAAGGTTTTCGTAAAAGGGTTCTTATGGAGTCGCCACCAATGTTTTGACCATAAACATTGGAAAAGGATAAAAAGGCGTTGATTTTAAGAAAAACCAAACTTGGCCATTATAACCAGAGTTAGGTAAGGGAGTTAGTTACGCGTGGGGAAGGTGTTAGCACCCCCACGACGCCCCTTCCAGGTTCCCTATGACAGATTAATTCATAAAGTAAAGATTAAGAGAAATTACGCTATTACCCTATTTTATTATACAATAAAAAATGGCTATCTACATGATTCTATTTTCTATTGCATACATAAAGAAGTAAATAAAGTAATAAAAGAGAAGAGAAGTGAAAAGAACCTCCGTAGCAAGCTTTTTATTACAACTCTTCAACTATGAGGATGCGTTTTGGCAATCCCCCGCACTACAAAGACTCTCCTCCCCGAATACAGGACCGACTCTACCAAAATTCTAAGAAGAATCGAATGCCGGAAGAAACTTCCTTAACCGATTGTTACCTTATAGGCAATCGGAGAGATCATTCGAAAGAGGGAGAGAAGAGAGGAGTGAGGTGTGTCTAAAAACGCTCAAATGATTCCTATTTATAGTTTTTTCAGCTTGGCAGCTCGGGACGACCATCTGGGTGCGAAAAACAGGGACCGCGGTCTGCAGAGGTTGGGACGGCCGTCTGGGATCTGGGACGGCCGTCCCAAGTGCTGAATTTGAGTGAGACGCGCGTCTCACATGTGGGACAGGCGTCTGGACTGTCTAGGATGGTTGTCCTGGCTTCTGGGATGCCTGTCTCGAGTGTTTTGGCCAAATTTTGTGTTCTGGGACTCCCGGGAAGCTTTCCTTTCTTCAGATGGAAGCCGATTGATGTCGATAGACGTCCACTGAATCTTCATCTTCAGAGAGAAAGTCTTCTGGTCTTTATTGAGAGGCCGGACAAAATTAGGGGTCTACAAGGATATTTTATTTTGACCATTAGTCAATGATATAATCTATTTATAATTCAAATATTTTCATTAACAATTGAAATTATATGATTATATATTACATTGATAAATATATTATAAAACAATAAGAGTATACCCTCTTGCCAAAAAGATCAGCTGAAGGGTGAAGGAGTTAACCCTCTTGCCCGGCTGTCCTTTGGATGCTTCTTCTTGCGGTAGCCGATCCTCTAGACGATAAATGTGTGTGTGCCTCCGGGATGCTCCTTCATGCGGCAGCCAACCCCTTTGAAAAAAAAAGGTGTGAACATTCGGGATGCTCCTTCTTGCGGTAGTCGACCCCTTTGGTTGACAAGTGGTAGAACCTCAGGATGTTCCTTCTTGCGATAGCCGATCCCTCGATTGATGAGTATGAACCCTCATTCGGTTGCTTGTAGCTTTGGGATGCTCCTTCTTATGGTAGTTGACCCCTCGGCTGATAAGTGGTAGAACCTTAGGATGCTCCTTCTTACGGTAGCCGACTGTAGACCCCTAATTTTGCCCGGCCTCTCAAATAAAAGCTAGGGGAACTTCACACAAAGACAAAGTTCACCCGGTTTCCCAAATAAAGGAAAAGAAGACTTTTCGCAATAAGACGGAGGTCACCCATCCACACAATAAAGGCAAAGGAGACTTCCTACACAGAGATAAAGCTCGCCTGGCACTTTAAAGGCCAATAAGACTTCCTACATGAAGATAAAGCTTCAACGGACACACATCGGCATCAATCTACGTCCGAAAAAGGAAAGGAAAGCTTCCCGGGGGTCCCAGAACGCGAAAACTGGACTAAACAGGCTGAGACCACCGTCCCAGAGTTGGGACGGCCGTCCCAACTGTCCCTGTGCAAGTGGGACGCGCGTCCCAAACTTGGGACGGCCGTCCCAAACCCCAGGGGGTCCCAGCCTGTGTTAAATTGCATTTGGGACGACCATCCCAACCCAGACTGGCCGTCCCAGATTGGCACAACGTGGAAAACACGTTTGGGACGGCCGTCCCAACCCAGACGACCATCCCAATGTTCCAGGCGAAAAATGGCTATAAATAGGAGCCTCATTTGTCATTCTCCACACACCAGACAACTCAGAAGACTTGTCTATCCTCTTCCCTCTTCGAATGAACTCTCTGATTGCCTTTATAAGGTAACAATCAGTTAAGGAATCATATTCCAGCATTCGATTCTTTTGTAAAATTGAGTCGAGTCGAGTCTGTATTTGAGAGGAGAGTTGTTGTAGAGCGAAGGATTGCCACAAAGCATCCTCTGTATAAAGGACTTATAATATAAAGCTTGCTTCAGAGGTTCTTCTCAATTCTCTTCCCTTTTACTGCTTTATTTACTGCTTTCTGTATGCAATAAGAAATAAAATCATGTAGATATCCATTCTTAACATTATGCAATAAAATAAGGGTAATCGCGTAATTTCTTGTAATCTTAACTTAAATGAATTAATCCGTCATAGGGAACCCGAAAGGGGCGTTGTGGGGTGTTAATACCTTCCCCACACGTAACTAACTCCCTTACCCGACTCTGGTTATAATGGCCAAGTTGGTTTTTATTAAAATCAATGCCTTTTTCTCCTTTTCCAATGTTTATGGTCAAAACATTGGTGGCGACTCCAAAAGAACCCTTTTCGAAAACCTTGCTTCTATTAGAGGATAGTTCAGTGTTGAGCACCTCGGAAGCAATGAACATGTTTTAAACAAAAAATGCGAGTCTCAACCATCTTTTCGCGACCGCTTGCATTAACGTTCGAGACATCCCAGGATGTCGGAATGGACGGCGGCGACACTGACCCCTCGGTTAATGAGTATGAACCCCCATCCGGTTGCTTATAGCTTTGGGATGCTCCTTCTCACGGTAGGCGACCCCTCAGCTGACAAGTGGTTGAACCTCAGGATGCTCCTTCTTACGGTAGCCGACCCCTCGGTTGATGAGTATGAACCCCCATCTGGTTGGTGCAGTCCACTTTGTAGGACTGGTGGTGGTGGTGGCTTACTGCTCTAGCTCATGCGCCGTGATTTTGCCTGTGTGCAGGTCTTTGTCTTCGGGACCTTCCTTGTCGTGAAGTGGTGGTGGCGGCTTACTACTCTATCTCATGCGCCGATTGATGAGTATGAACCCCCATTTGGCTGGTGCAGTCAACTTTATAGGACCGGTGGTGGCGGCTTACTGCTCTAGCTCATGCGCCAGCTCTATGTGGAGTGGTTCTTTGCAGATATTTGTTTTTAACTTTTGCAGGTGTAGTCATCCAGTTTGTCGGGGATTCTTTGGCCTCTGAGTAGGCAGATGCTTCATCGGAAGTGAAGACTTTTGACTGCATTGTTTTGCCTCTGAGTAGGATGATATTCCTGTCGGGGATGTTGGCTCTTTGCGTGCGAGCGACTCACTGAGGATGGGTCTTTGAAAATGGCCTTTGCGGTAGGCTCACTGGGGATAGGTTCCTTTCTCTTTTTTGGATGATCCACCGAGGACTTGGTTAACTTTCTGGTGATCAAATTTTGGTTGTCTTCTAGGGAATGGAGTCTTGTCTCCTTAATTGTATTAGTCATAGGCTCTTGTGTAGCCTTTAGTCTCCTTTGATGGTGGTGGAGAATGGGTGAATCTTCTTGATGGCCCATCGTGGCGATGATGGTGAGTTGTGCGAAGATGTTTTTGTTTGCCTCTGGAGTGGGTGATGATCCGCTTGGGGATTGAGCCTTTCCGTCGGCTTTGTTTTGGTTTGAGAGTTGCCTTCCCTTTATTCGATCGGAGCTTATTTGGTTATGGAAGCTCTTGGTTAATTTCGCCTTTTTCCGCAGTTTATTCTTCTTTCTCGCGATTTGAAATTTGGCTTTTTTCAGAATGATGCGTGTTCCTTTTTATTTCCTAGTTTCTTTTATGCACGCAGGCTTTTTCTTCTTTTTGGGGATCCACAGGAGATTTCTTTTTCGTGGTCTGCTTGGGGGTTTATTGGCCTTCCTTTGTCATGGCCTTCCTTTGTCATGGCCTTTTCTTTTTTGGGCATTCATTGGGGATGAATGGTTTTCTTTTTGGTGATCCACCAGGGAATTAGCTAACTTCCTGGGGATCCAATTTTTCTTTTCTAGGGATGGAGTCTTGGCTCCTTGATTAATGTTGATACGTCCTTGTGAAACTCTTATTCTGCTGAGGGATGAGAATTTCTGATTCCTTCTTTTTGTAGATTTTTCTGGGGAGATCCACTTGGGGATTTTTATTCGGCCTTCTCTGTTGCGGCCCTTTCTTTTGGACATCCGTTGGGGATGCAAGGGTTTTCTTCTTTTATTTCTCTTTTTGTTGAGCCCTTGATGGTATAGAGATTGGACTCTTTTGACTGTTGATGATGATGGGCTCTTGAAGCCTTTACTCTCCATTGGGGAGTGTGCTCGATGACTCATGTAGTGGCGATGCTGAGCCATGGGGTAATATTTGTGTTGCCTCTAGAGTAGAAA